CTTAATTTAGCTATTATTACCCAATTTTATAGAACAAAGTTCAGAGATGTGAAGTTCATCTAATTGTATTCTTGATATCTCCACTTTGTGTTCTAACAGGGATCTCAAACATTTGTTTTGAAACTGAGTGCCTTGTCTTCCTCCCCCAGTCTGTTTAACCCACATTCTTGTCCATCTCAGTTATTGGCAATTGTTTCTTTCTAGTTGCTCTGGTACAAAACTTTGGGACTGTATTAATTTCTCTATCATACCTCAAATCCAACTTATCAATAAATCTTATTGATTCTACATCCAACATACTTACAGAATCAAACCACTTCTCCCCCACATCCACTGCTATCATCCTGGTCCAAACCACCATCATCTCTTGCCTGAATTATTGTATTGCCTTTTATCTAATTTGTCCACTCCATTAATGCCCTCCTGAAGTTGATTCTTCACATAGAATCTGGAGTAATATCCTACAAATGTGTTTTAGAGCATTGCACTCGTGTTAAAAATATTTTCAAAATATTTTTCTTGAAAGGGGATTAAAAATATATATTCTCAGAATAAAATCCAAAGTACTTTTGTAATGGCATATAAGGCCCTACACAATAAGCCTTATAAAGACATGGGTTGTTATGATTTGCTCACTGATATTTCCATGGGAGCCTGAACAGTGATAAACACTATAGTAGGTGCTCACTAAATCTACAGTATATATATATTTTAAAGCAACATTGAGTAAAATATAATTCAGTTAGTAAACATTTGAAATGGAATTTAGACCCTATTTGATGTAACTTCAACGACATTCCATTTTTAAAAATCACTAACCCAGTGTGCAACTTTTAGGTATTCAAGACTCTGATCTTGTATTCAAGACTCTCAATGACTTGTCTGTATTCTTCTTTCTCTTGTGATTTAATATATTTTGACTGTATAAAAACTGGGTTGGTGGTTGTGGTGGTGGTGATAGGTGGTGGTTTGCTAAGGTGTTTTGTTTACTCTCCTAGTAGCAACAATGATTCTATAAGGTAAGGTAAGGAACTCTATAGGGGAGTGTACCTGTCATCTTTGATAGTGGTCTTTATATAACTAAAAAAATTCATTCTATAGTCTGAAAGCAATGTTTTCTAAGTTTGTGACAGAATGTATCACAGCATTCCACCAGAAAATATCAGGTCTACTTATCTTTCAATATTTCCTTTTGTTCTGAAAATGCCAGAGATGGAGACCAATTCCTTCTGTAATAAGCCTTCATGTTTTGGAGATCATTATTAAAACACCTCCCGCCCTTCTTTTACTTTGGTTTAAATAATGTAACATCATTTAACCTTTATTCCTAAGTCCTATTTTTGACTCTCTAATTATTTGTATTACTTTGCTGTAAGTCCTCTTCATATTCTTCACATATTAAATGTGGAAGAGCCACTATTGGAATCTTCCAATAGGGAATTTTTCTATTTTAGTGTTGAATACATAAGTACAGGCATGATTAATTGCACAGACTTTTCTGAACCAAATCCTTAACCAGAATACAGATATATTCCAGGTGTGAATACTATTATGATGTTGTTTTATATCTTAATGACATTTCTGATTTTTGGTTTTTATAATATTATTCAGTCAATTTTAAATGGCTTTTTAAAAACTCTCCTTTATGTACATACCACACTCTAAAACTATTTAAAATATAGTCCCTGCTTTCCAGAGCCTTATGATCTGTGAACAATTGTAGTTTTTAGATTTAGAGTAAAGCTTTTAATTTATGAGTGCAATGACTACTGCAGTATTGGAGGGATATTGTGAAAAAAAAAGCCTTCTGATCTCACCCCCCAAATATGTTATCCTTTGATATTTGCATGCTTCCATAGATATTGCAAAACGACTTCCTTTCCACTAGGCTAAGAGACTGTGATCTGGAAACAGAGTTCTCAGAGCTTCCTTGTAAAAATAATTTCTTCCCCCCAAGTTGCAA